CCTTGCCTTTGCATATCAGTCCCAAGCTGTAATTCTTCACTGAATCTTCTCAGGACTCCTTCTTCATGTGCCGATCCTCAACTCCAAGCTGCATCAATTCCAACTGTACCAGGTTTAGCTCCTGACACCAATGCTATAAAATTTGTGATGTACCTTTTGTAATGTAGTGGTCCTTGACCAGTATGAGATGGATTTGGAAGACTGAGGAAGTTAGAGTGTGGCTTTGAATTAGAAAGTCTTTGAAGTAATTATGTATGCATGAATATTCAAATGCAGATCAGCTCTTTGAATTTTTTTCGGTATATTGATTATTTCTACTTTTTGATAATCTGTTGATTCTTATACTATTTTGATACTCTGATAACTTCAAAAATGAAACCAAGTGTGATCCCTATATAAATATTCCTAACACGATCGATATTTTCAAGTTTATCTTAGTTCAATTATTTATTCTTCTATTGTCAGATTAAAATTTTCGAATTGAACTATGTTGGTGTCAGGAGCTTAAAAAATGTGGACACTATTATTGTTAGTCTAAGTTTAAAATTTGAACTTTAGAATTGCGCTCCACACCATTAGATATGATCTACAACACATCAACTATCTAGAAATAGAATTTTGAGGGCTTTTAACATATTTTATTGATGTATTATATGTTGTTAAAATCAACATTTGAGAATTTTTGTGAAGTTTCTTATTTTAACCTGTGTTACATGATTAAAAAGACATCAAAATCATTGCAATTTTTGTATCTTGCTGGTTTATGGGTATTACATCACGTCTGCTTGAATTTCTAATTTGGAATCAGAATTTCAGATTTACATTGGATTGATAGTATGCACTTAATGGGTACTATTATAGTAGCCTAGCTCAACTCGAAATCTTCGGATGTCAAGGTTCTCTTCACAAACCTACTTGTAACATGAACTATTTGTGTTTGCTTCTTTCCTACGTATAATTAATTAATACCCAAAACGTCACTTAAATCACAAAAATTATATTCGCCTTGAAAGGTGTGTTTGCAATTGTAGTAACATTGTTGTTTTGTAACTATGCTTGATCAGGCCATTTGTATGATCGTGAATGGCCACTTGGAAAAGGACCAAATGTTGAGATTTTTACCCAGAAAAGGTTAGTCTTATTTTCCTTTATGCATCTTAAGCTTTTCATAAGCTTCTGTTAGTACATCTAAATGCCAAGTTTTAATGTGGGACACACGGTTTCAGTGTAAAAACCGTGTATCCCATCAATTGAAATTAGCCTTATTTTCTTGACATACCAAATCTAGAAAAGCAATAAGAAAAAATATATATAAAACTTTACTATGAAAATATGGTTATCATGAATATTTTAGCGAAAATGGCAAGTCGTGATTTTCCATCCTCAAGCTTCCAGACCAACACTCTGATGATAGTCCTTAAGGCTTTTCATCCAAAGAAAACCGGGCAAACCTCTGGTTTCCCTTCCTAAACAAAATCCAAAGAATTTTCATCCCAACAATCCAAACAAGCCCTTATATGCGGTTTTGTTGGTATCCTAGCAGATCTTAATGCTTTGTATATACTTCATAAGCTGCCTGAAATGGCTACCAGAATAGCCATAAATTTTATGACATCTGCAAAGAGTTGTGCACATTTCTTTAGCCTTAGTTTCGGGGGTGCACAAAATATCCATGTTTGATGAAATATCTTTATCCATATCTGTTAGGATGCAGGTATGGTTACTAAAATCTATATTTAATAGGATATGACTACATATATGGATATGTAGTGAAATATTTGGATCCATATCTGAATTATTCGAATGTATGTAGGTCATACAGTTCTAATAGTTCTAACCCTTAGATTAATGGATTTTAGGTAAAGTTTGATGATCAAAGGACTTAATCTTAGCTTTTTAGATAGAGTGAACATGTTAACGAGCTCTCTTGCATAGCATGCACTGTATTTTTTTATTATATTTGATTTCTCATATCCGTTTTGTATCCGCATGTATATCTGCTTAAATTTCTGCATGTATATCCTTGTCCGTATCCGATTTTAGCAGATATGGATATGAAATATGAATTTTTATTACTAAGGCATATCCGTATTGACGGATCCATGTAAGTGGGTATGGTGGCAGATGCCACCATAAAAATTTTGATTTTCAATTAATAGGTATAGAAATTTATAATGGTGCCCTTGCACAATTTATATAGGTGCCCCCATAATTTGGTAGCCCAAACAATTATGAAGAACTATTGTTGGAACTTAATTGTATTTTTTTAGCTTTTGTGATGAAAATGAAAAAGATCATATATTAATATGAAAATGATATTGAAAAATGTTATGTGTTGAGATCTTTATGGCTATTGTATAAATAAAAATTTCAATTGGTAGAATATATATCTTATATGTTATTAATTTATATGCATAATTGTAAATGTGCCCTCAATGGAAATTTTTTCAGGATCCGTCACTGTATATATGTATCTGTAGCCTTATCTGTGATTGGTAAGCTATTATGGATATGGCAACTGATAAGTATCATATCCATGTCGTATCTGAAACGTATGCACCTTTAAATCCACTAATCAAATACTTATTGGCTAGTCCATCAATGTTTCGTACTGTTCATCATGATTTACAAATCACGAAATTCTAAGTAAGAAACTCTTTTGGCTGGTTATTTCCCTGGATCGACTGGTTACGTCGGTAGTAATATGGGAACTGTTTGTTTCATAACCACCAGTTAAAAGATATCCAATATATAATGTGTATTAAATTGAAAACATATAACGTTCACGTATTAAATCCACTAATCATTAGCCATGTCATGTTAAAAGATATCCAATATATAATATGTGTATTCATGAAAGAGTAGAAAGAGATTTTACACAGATTAAATTGAAATGACAAGAAACAATTGAATGTAATAAGAAAAATACAGGGAATGAATGTCAACTTTCTCACAATATCAGAGCTTCAAATATTGGATTGTGTACTGCATGTTCTTGATAATTAATTAGCATCACCAATAAGACATAAATATGTTAGGATTGTGTCTTTGATTCTTTGTATAACTTCATGAGAAATAGATAGGGTTAGAGATCTATCATGATTAGGAGATTGAATCTCATTATGATTAGGAGTTTGAACCCTATTATAATTAGGAAGTTAGGTTAGAGATAGGGTTGTGATTTCCCTATATATATTCTTCTATTGTTGGAGGAAAAAACAAGCAGATGAGATAGAGTCAATATTCTTGTAATTCAGGGTTAGCAGAGGGCGTAACCTGATTCAACAATATTGTGCGAGAGGTGAGGGTTTCGTAGTCTTTGTCCGTGCAAAAGATTACATCATTAGGAGAGGGTTTCACAATCTTTGTCCGTTCAAAAGATTGTAAGGAGAGGGTTTTGAAGAGAATATGAGAATTGATTATGTATGTGAGGTTAAGAGATTGAGAGACGAGTGTTGAGTGATTCCTCTTGTAGTTCTTCCTGATACATAGTGGATTTCTCGTATTGTTGCCCATGGACGTAGGTCAAGTTGGTCGATTGGACCACGTAAATCTCAGAGGTTTTTCTTCTTGATTGTGGTTGTTTGATATCTTGTTGATTGTGGGTTAGCTTCCGAGTTGCGGAGATCGTAGTAAGCAGTGAAAGCTAAAATTCCCCAACAAAATAGAGTAGTTAGTGGATTAGCTAGGTTACCTGCTACCTTTGAAAAATAAAGCCAGCGCAGCCTCTAATTACTCTCAACTAACTCTGAATTAAAAGGAATTAGAAAATAAAAGACCATGAGCTCCTCTTGAGAAAAGTCATATGCGCAATCTAACATCGTAAGTTTCGCCTTTAAGAAAAATTTAAGTTTGTACCTTTTATAACTACCCCAGGGGCGGATCCAGGATTTCAAATAAGGGTTGTCATTTATCAATACAAAAGTAAAGGAAAAAAATCAAAAGAAACCAATTAAAAATATTATATAATCAAGAAATAGTAATATTTTAAATTACAACTCAAATTTAAATATCTAATGCTAGTCCAGATGTAATTGCATTCTTCTGTTGTTCATAGCTTGAAAGCGCTTGATGATATCAACATCATCAATTGTGGAAAACACTTCTTTCTCCACAAATGTTACTAAACAATCATTAAGCCACGGGTTTGACGATTTCAAATAAGGGTTGTCATTTATCAATCATTATTTTAATTACTATTCACATTCATGAGAAATTGAGAATTAAATCTTTCAAATAGACTAATAGAGGAAAAGTTTAAACATACCTGAAATTGGCTCAGCTTTGGACTGCTCTGATTTAATTTGTGAATATTTAGATAAGTTTATGGAAATTTAGGATTTCTAAATTTTAGAAGAAGAAAAATAAAAAGGATAAGGGAATGGCCTAAATTGAAGGGGTGAGGGGATGAGATCGTGATTCGTGGTCAGTAAAGGAAGGGGAAAGGTCTCCCCGCTCCCGCCTCTTTTAGTTTTTTAACATGAATTGCCTAATTAATGAAAGGAATGAAAAAAAAATTGAGGGTATGCAAAACCACTCGAACCCGCAACCTCTAATAGAAATTTCAAGATTTTTACCATCTCAGCTACATATTCATATTGTCTTGGGGTTGTCATATGCATACTATGACAACCCCGTAAATCCGCCCCTGAACTACCCTAACGTTCTACCATCATCTAATAAAGGCTAGATATCATAAAACCTCCCTTGACTTTGGAACACTAGCAGCAAACCCCCTTAAATTTCAAAATATCAAGAAAACCCCCTTAATTAGGAGGGTTTTTTCGATAAAATCTCAAAGTTAATTAAATGGGATTTTCTGATAAAATCTGAAAGCTAAAGAGGGATTTTGTGATAATTCCTATACGTAAGGGGGTTCTTATGGATCTGATGCGTCGCACATGAAGAGTGAATTAAGCTAATATATAACACGTTATACGAAACTTCATAGAAAAAACTAAAACTAGACAAGGACAACCTAAAACTTTATGATGTACACTAATTAGTCAGTAATTTATACGTGACAATATTTCAAGCTCATGATGGCCACCTAAACCTTATAATATAATCCTTCCCTCGCTCTATAATCGTCTATAAATTGCTCCTTTCTCCAAAGCATCTTAACACAAATCAAATTCATCAATATCCAATTAAGCGTACTCATTTAGGATATTTGAGATGGCTTCCCAAGTTATTCTAGGGATCACCATTCTTGCTTTGGCTCTGGTTCAAGCTTTTGCTTATGATCCTAGCCCTCTGCAGGATTTCTGCGTTGCTGACACGCAATCAAAAGGTTGATTCATGTGACATTCTATTATTACTATTATCATAATTAATTAAGATTAACACTGATGAAACGTTATTCGTACTTATCTAGCAAAAATAATGAAACAACAAAGAAATAAGTGCAGATGTTTTTTTTTTTTGTAAGTTTTGTTTTTATGTACGTACATGTGTGCATGCTTATATATCCTTTAATTAAACTCCTCATTTCATTTATACTCTTATTAAGGATATAGTGTCAGAATATATTATGTTTCTAACCATTTAATTCCATACTATGAAAATCTGTATGCTTGAGTGTTTTACTATTTTGTCCAGCCAGTGATCATTAATGGAATAAAAGTAGCTTTCAAACCCTTTGATAATAGCTAATTTTTTTAATGTAAAACTTCTTAGTGATTATTTCGTGCATATGGATAAAACATACACGAAAATGTTCAACATTTTGTTCATCAGCGGTCTATCTATAGAAATAAAATGACGTGTAATATATAGTTAAGATATTCAATTTTCCTATACCTTATCCAATTCATGTACGAATCTAAGCTCTATGCAATCTTCAATTATGTCCTCTCCTTTCTTACAAAATAAAAATAATTGCTGGTTTGGCTTCCTTCTTCCCCTTCGAAGTAGACACCATCACTCTTAGGGTCATAGCGAGTTCGAAGAGAAATGAGGATGAGAACTCTAAGTTTCTTGGAAGACTTGAGAGAAATTTTTCAAAAAGCATAGCAATCTCCTAAGGAGGGAGATGAAGGCTATATATAGGCGAGACTTCAGCAGTTGAGATTCGTTGTCTAAACCAAAGCCAACGGCTCTGATCGCTAGCAATGGTTCAGATTTGACAGTTCGAATTGAAAGGACGAGAGAGAGAGTCCCTAATCGAACAACTTGGATGATGAGACGATTCATATTTGAACTATCGCCTTAGCTAGCAAGCGCTCAAGCC